GGAAAATTAATTGCAAGGGGAAACAACGTTCGCCGGGTCAGCTAGTATAATATATATTATTACATATAATAATAATGTTATATATATTACATATTATAATATATTGTATGTATTATATTATATATATATTACTTACAATTTTAGTTAAAAAAGTATTCTTAAATCTGATCTGTTTTCATAACTAATTTTTTTAAAATATCTTTATTATTATTGATCACGTCTGTTAGTTTTATAAACATACCTATTGTTATATTTAATGCATATGCAAAATATAAACCGATATATAATTTATTAATTTTTCATTATATATATATATATAATATATATAATATAAAATTCGTACACTCTGATAATATTATGTATAAATCATTATATTAGAACTTGTAGTCATGTTGATAAATCATTCGCCAAAAATAATAATTTATTTAAATTTTATATTCATAATAAATAATAAATAATAACATTTTTGATAAATTTCTGATAAAATTTTGTAGTACTAACCAATACTAGAATAACATCAACAAAAAACATATTTATATTAAATAAAATATTATCAAAAGTTTTTTGTTTGAAAGTAAAATATTAACAATATCTACTATAAATGTTGTATTTTTTATCAAAATAAATATTTATGGTGTTTAGAATATTGCGATCGAGTAGGAGTATGGGCAATAGATAACTTAATTAAAAGTTAATAAAAAGACTAAGTACAGTTTTTTGTTCAAATGGTGGACTCAAGTTTTTGCTGGTCGATTGTATACTGTCCTATTCACGATCGAATTTAAACGTGTTACTTGAGAAATAACAGCGTAACTAACAAAACTAATTTATAATCATCATACGTACTATCGCGAACATAGAAAGTATTAAAGATTACGATAACCTAGATATATTGTATAATATATATTTTTTTTTTTTATTTAAACATACATTTGTTTATTGCATCTTCTCTTAAAATGAGACTAACAATAAGTTGTAAAATCTTATAACTAATTACATAATGTTACAAATTCTTATTTTAACTATACATTGTATAAAATAAAATAAAATAAGTAAACCTTATATCACGAACCTCACTTAGATTAATGGGTTAAATTTCATTGGAGTGAATGTTAGGTGGTTTCTTAAGAAAGTGGTTCAACTTTATCAGATTACTAAAATGAAAGCTGCGGTTTTTACTTCAAGCTGTTGAATATTAATTAATGGCTGGACGGTCAGCTCTTTTTAGGCGGGTAGTAGTGGATAGATGTGCGAGATTTCTTGCTAGGGGATTAACATGTTCTGTCAGCCTTTTATTGTATTTTTTCTTATATTGTCAAATTCAGTTTTAACTAGTGGAATTTGTAGATTTCGGTGTATACTTTCATTCCTTATATACCATGGGGCTCCAGTGATTGTTCTTAGTATTTTTGACTGAGCTCTTTGTATCATTTCAATATTTGAAGCACTAGCATTGCCAAATAGCTGGATACCATAAGTTCATATTGGTTTTGTGATGCTGTTATACAAGAGTACTTTATACTCTAGGCGTAGGGAAGTGCTGCTATTAATGAGCCAATGCAACTTAGAGGCTTGGAGCTTCATCCGAATTTTTTTGGCTTCAATATGTTTGCGCCAAGTTAGTCGTCTGTCTGTGTGAATATCTAGACCTAGGTACATTATATTATCTGTTTGTGGTATGGGAATGTTATTTAGTAAAATTGTTAGAGATTTACTCCGATTTAAGGTAAAAATGACGTGTCCACATTTTAGTTCATTAATTTTAATTTGCCATTTTGATAGCCATTTCTCCACCCGAAATAAGTGAGATTGAAGTTAGTTTGAAGCTAGCACAACGTTTTTGTTTCGACATAAAATTGCCGTATCATCAGCAAACGTTGTAGTGACTATTGAGCTACTTATTAGGATATTAGATGTGTAATGTAAATACAAGATAGGGGCAAGAACACTTCCTTGTGGAACACCAGCTTCTATTGGGAATTATTAGAAGTATATGATTTACATTTAAATTTAAAGTTTCTGTTATGCAGATACGATTCTAAAACTGAATGGACATTTGAAGGTAATGAATAGCGTATCTTATATAGGAGCCCATTATGCCATACTTTTTCAAAGGTTTGTTTAACATCGAGAAATACCGCGGAACAATATTCTCTGAGTTCAAATGCGTGTCTTATTTCGTTCGTTATACGATTCACTTGCTCAATAGTTCCATGATTTTCCTTAAAACCAAACTGGTGGGAGGGTATTAGGTTTTGACCGTCAAGGAATGGTTTCAGCTTTAAAAGCAGTGCTCTTTCAAAGAGTTTAGAAAGGCATGACAGTAAGCTTATTGGCCTGTATGAAGAGGCTAGCGTGGGATCTTTACCTGATTTATGAATCATAACAATCATAGATGTTTTCCACTCTGTTGGGTAAAAGCCAAATTTAGTAATGACATTAAAAAGTCTTGTGATAAAATACCATTACTTGAGATGGAAATATACTTCGGGTGTCCATTTGTAGTCTCAAATTTTCGACGGTGCGTTCAGTTAAGTAAATACGATCATTTTGAGAGTTTATGAATTGCTCTATGTGGGAATGTTATTCATCAGAGAACACAATGCTTGGAAATTCGCCACCTTCGAGCTTTACCTTGAGCTTATTTTAAAATATGCGTCGTATGCTTCACTGGAATATTTTCAGTTCTTTAGCGATTTGATTACCACTACTACGTGGATTTATTTCAAGCATTCACGTTCCGAACCATTTCAGGAGATTTTGCAATTTTTTTTAGTTCCCCACCAAAGCGTTTGACGACGCTGCCTCTGCTATTATAACGATTTATAGAACGATACACAAACATTTTATTCACTTTGAAGTGTTGAGGTGTTGAGCTCACAAACTTGTGGGAGCTTGTGAAGAATATAAATAGCCGACATCTATATGAATTCACATAGTTAGCAATATCAGTTTGACAGATATACCCGTGTGTAGTTAACTCACGCTTCAATCGCCTAACCCTGAATTATATTATAACAGAAAAAAGCTGAAACTAGTATGAATACTTAAGGTTTATAGTGTCGAGACGACTTAATTAATTTAGCTGCTTTAGTCAAAAATTTTCAATTGTAAAATTTTTTTTTTTGCATTTGCTAGAACATAATCGTCTAACGAAAATTTTGAAAGAAAAATTCAATTTTTCACACTTCCCTAAAATAGGAGTATTTGTGAATAAGCTAAACAACAACATTGTCAGTAGTCAATAAATTTTTTTCGTTCGAGCTCGGTTCGTATCTCATACAGAGATAAACTGTAGTAGAAATAAAAGGTTTTTCGTTTATGAAGAAGCAAAAACTGTAGGGTTACATTTAAAATTAGTATTAGTAGTCATAGCAGTCACCGCTAGTCATTGCACAAACCTTACTCACATATTATGAAATCAAATTCACGTTATAATATCTACTTTCGCATTTTAGCATGATCTACACAAAGCAACTGTATTCGTTTTACAGTTAAACGGAAGACATGTTTCGATCAAAACGCCGTTATGACGAGTTTGATCGTTGAAGTCGTGAAAATTAAACTGGTAACCAAGCTCATCCTGTAGGAACATAAGTAGACTCTATATTCATGTAAAAAACTGTTCAGATCGGTGTATAAAACGTGTCGTGGTGTAAAATCCATGAGTTTTCCTTTCATAAATCTGGCCTCTTTTTGCGAATGGCCTCACGCAAACGACGTATAACGGCCAAATAATACTCCTTATTGACCGTTTGACCGTCCGAAAGGAATTCATAGTGCACCACACCACGAATATCGAAGAAAACAATCAACATAACCTTGATTTTGAACCGACTTTGGCTTTCTCTTTTCAGTTTCGGTTTACCTTCAAAGCACCATTCGGTCGATTGTTGTTTGGTAGGCATGTCAAATTCATAGATAGATAGACCCATGTCTCATCACCAGTTATGATGCGTTCGATGAATGTGGAATGTGGGGTCACTATCTGCCACCACTCTTTGGCCACATCACAACAACCCTTTTTTTTAATTAAATTCAGCTTTTTTGCCACCAGCCTAGAAGCGACGCGTTTCAAACCCAAAACCTCAGTTAAAATGCGTTCGGCCGATTCATATGAGACTGCAATCTCTCTGTTTCGCCGATTCAATGTTTTCTTCAGTAAAAGATGTTGTTGGGCGGCCAGGGATCTCATCATGGTCCAAGCTTGTACGACCGTCTTTGAACCTTTTAAACCATTCGTATACTCGTGGTTGCGAAACACACAAATTACCAAAGGCCTTACTTAACATTTTCAACGTTATTCAACGTTTCGCTTGAAAATGTTAAACATGAATCCATTGGCAACACAAAATTTGATGCACGCACGTTGTTCTAATTTTTGATTCATTATAAAAACACGAAAATTTTTCGACTTCTTTGTATAGACGCCAAACAAAAACTAATCGTACGATATGCGTTAAACTTTGACAGAATGTGTATAATAGTGTTGCCAGCGTGAAAATAAAAAAAATTTACCGATTGGATAAGCGCGGTAATTCAAAAATTAAAATTCTCGTTCTTACAAAAATAAATGTGAGGAGAGATGAGAAAATAATTTCACATATGTTTTGTCATAGTCCAGTGTTGTCAGTAGTTTATAGTCCAGAATTATTAATATGTGAGGAACTCACTTCTTACAGTATTTTTTTATATCTCTATATTGAGACAGAATAAATAAAATTAAGATGATCATTTCTAAATTTAATAGAGTAATTTAACTATGTGTAATATATAAACAGAATATCTGAATAAAATGATTGTTGTTAAACAAAAGCTCAATTACAGTAAATCCAATCCAATAGTTTCAATTCAAAGAGAATGATTTATTTTAAAGCTTCTTTTAATTTAGCTTTGTTAGTATAATTGTGAACTTAAAATAAACTCTTATCTCAATTAAAAAATCATAGCTATTTCTCTAGTCTAGAAGTATAAGTAGCGAAACAAATTTAGTTAGTTTATTGAAAACGAGTCAAGAGGTTGAAGTAGCATTACTCTGTAATCATAAAATGCATATATTTTTAAATAATGAAAAAATGATTTTTGCTTTATTATTACTTGTAATTAACGAAGCTTATGTGTCGGAAAAAAAGCGCACATCGCTTGAGGCTTTAAGTAACTAACTTGACCTATGCACTATCTGTTTGTTAATCTAAACCAATTTGTTTGTAGAATGCAGACGGTATAAGGAAAGTGTGTTTAACCAGAAGGTGACCTTTCAACCATTGGTATATAAACCTAATTTAATCGCAGTGGAAGAGGATAGTTGTAAATCTTATGCACCTTTTATTGTTAATGGAACGCCAGCAATAGGTAAGGAATTTCCCCACATGGCTCGTTTGGGTTATGCCGAAAAAAACAAACCCACATCTTGGTTTTGCGGAGGCACTCTTGTGAGCAAAAAAATGGTTCTGACAGCAGCTCATTGTTTTGAGTTCGATTAGTGAGTGTGAAGAGTTTTTTATATAAAACAAAGTGCAATTACCTATTTTTTTAATCACTATAACATATATCCGATTTTATATATGAAATGTTTATATAAATTTCAGTGGTGATGTAAATCGCGTTCGGTTAGGTGAACTTGATTTTGATAAAACGAATGATGATGCCCAACCAGAAGATTTCAAGGTTGCTCGATATATAGCACATCCAGATTATGATGAGGATTCGGCCTTCAACGATATAGGTCTAGTTGAACTCGCTAAATTTGTTATTTTTAGCGAATATAAGCTTCCAGCCTGCTTGCCGATAACTAGTGGAGACAAATATTCAAATTTCATTGCTGTTGGCTGGGGATCTATTGCATTTGCAACGCCAGGACCGGGTTATTTACTTAAAGTTGGTTTGGAACGTTTTCCATCAAATGCCTGCGATATAGGTGCAAGAGATTCTGATATTGATAGATTAAAAGATGGTTTTCACAGCGATTCTCAAATATGCGCCGGTTCAAAAGTAAATAAAGATACATGCCAGGGAGATTCTGGAGGTCCTTTGTTGTCTTATCATCCCAAATATGGTTGCATGTATTATGTGGTTGGAATAACTTCGAGTGGTTTTGGGTCATGCGGTGTTCCTGGACTTCCTGCAGCGTATACAAAAGTTCGTTACTACATTGATTGGATAAAACGAAATATATGGAAATAATTTAGGTACATGAATGCAAAATATATTAATATAATAAAATTCTGATTTTTACCAGAAAACAAATTATAATAAATTTTTATTAAAATATTGATTTAATATTTTATACTCCATTAAACTCTTTGTAGAAACGCTTGAAACGCTTTCAATTTACTATGATAATTGGTTATGATTCTCGAATTGAGTTCCTATTTCTTAGAGTCATTCTTAGAGTCATTGAATGTCAGAAACATGTTTGTTTCAGAAACTGTTAAACTTTAGGTAAATAAAGAGTGGTCGAAGTAAATGTGGCTATAAGTAATATTATCATAATTACTAAAACAACATCTTAAGTCTTAGGTGGTGGTTGTCGAAAATAAACTTTTGGCCTATTAGTGTTGTGAAACATATACTTATGTACACATATTTTATGAATTTTGATTTACATATATATATATCTCCGAGTTCGATTCCTGGTACTTGCAGTCTCAAAAATAATTATTTACGAATAATTAAATATAAGAATTATTTCTAAGACCACTGATGAAGGGTATTTGGCAATACTCGAAACAGCTGTATGGTCAGCCAAAAATTCAATTAATTAAAATAATTTAAAAAATAAATTTTTGTTGTTGTTTCACTTCTCTTCGAAAACCTCTTTATATATATATCTATGTAAACAAAGGAACTTACGAGTTGTACTGTAACGAACCTTTTTCGCCGAGGTTTCGCTCGCCGGATTCCGGGTTCAGTCCTACAATAAATTTATTTGATAGGAGTAGTGGAAAATTTGCGATGGTATGACGTTCGACGTAGACAGATATTTTGCTACTGAAATCTGGGTTTCTTTGTTGTGAAATCAATGGATTCTTGTACGGTTACTACCTAAATGTGTATTTCGTTTGTCCAGGAACGATTTATTGGTGATCGCAAATGGGAATTGTCACCACTTTGGAAAAGGTCAGTAACGAAATGTTGATTTCGTTAGCCGTGGACTCGGTATGGGTGATAATATCTATATGTAATTATCATCTTACCACTGATTACTAACGAAATGTTGATTTCGTTAGCAATAAATGGGTAATAGACATGTGTATTTCTATTACTAAATAAAAAGAGATGGGAATAGCAATGTAAATTTCTATTCTACGGAGCAACTAACGAATTCTACGGAGTTATTGTTTTATTATTATTATTGTTCTATGTTGTGGCATAAAATTTTGTACATATGTAAAATTTTATGTTACAGTACTATATATTAGGTCAAATAAGATTCAAGTCACATATCTTGATTTCGATCTACTAGAATATAATATTATAGAAATTTAAGTATTTTATTTAAAGGCACGTGTTCGTCGTATAAAGTAAGGTTTGTTGGATATCACGCAAGTATTTAAATGTAAGAAGGCACATCGATAAAAATTACCATCCTGCACAACCGATAATGTTCCTTTCTTGTGCGGAAGGAATAAGATGAGCTGTTACAATCTATTTGACTATGCATGCAATTATTTAATATCTAATTTCAATTTGGCTTTAGTTTTTATTCATTATATTATTAAAACAGAATAAAAAACGACCTTATAAATATAAAGCGGGTTCGTTATTAAATTTAGTCGTTTATCTCCATTTATTTAATACGTTCAAACTAAATTTTGTATGGAAATTACGTTCACGTAACTTAATTTTGTGTATGAACTCCAATTTTATATAATATTTATATCCACACATAGACTAATTGGTTCGACTAATAGCGATGTCTTATATAATTCGCAATATTTTTTTTTTTTGTCTAAGTTGAGTCAAAATTTGTTAACATAAAAATGTCTTCGACCTACAAAAGCATGTATCTGATCAGTCAATTCAGAAATCAAATATTCTTAAAGAGATTTTGTTCAGTTATAGACAGAGGAAATACCCAAATCTGTTTCTTACTATATATAATTAATATATTACATCATTAAAATCTTATATAAAAGTCACAGTTCTTAATGAAGTCAGCTTCAGACAATACTTTTTGTTTCTTATGGATTTGTTAAAGTCTGTGAACAGCCAGTGAACAGTCAGATGTTATAAAAGAATAAAAAATTATATCCAATATCCGATAAGTTTAAGAAAAATGTGTTTTCATATTTTTCAATAAATTTTTCGAGTAAAAATAATTCATTTAGAATTAAATATAATGAAAAGTAATTTCTTTTTGTAATGTGTGGGTGGTATCAAAATCCATCATCTAAGACTTACTCAAATAAAAAATATAATCGAATAATTAATAGCAGCTAGTTTATACTTATAGCCTTACTCCATTAGTAATGCTTTAATCTCTTTTGCAAGAAGTACAGATTATTAAAACAGGTGAAGCTCTTAGATATATACTTCTTAAGACTTTAGACTGCAGGACATATAAAAGAAGATATGTTATAGTATCATTATCTTTTAAACAAATATAAAAATATTGCTGATAATCGAAACCAAGATAAAAATGGAAATTGTAGAGAAATAGTCTGATTATAATCAATAATCACGGTTGTGGTCATAATCACATACTGACCACAGTTGTTGGATGTTTTTAAATCTTGACACATAAGATTGCAAGTAAGTCTGTAAGCTTCAATTTATTTCTGGCAGGACCAGAGTGGATGATTTGGTGTTTAGGATTTCACCATTTGACATTTAATTTGGTGTAAATTTAAAGATCTACGATTCACTGCAGAGCTTGGCAGGTCAAATAGTCACATACTATAATTAGCAAGCTCATCAGCTATTTCCTAAAGCATTCCCAATAGGAGTATGGATATGCAATACGGACTAACATGATAAGTATATATCAATGAATTTCTCTTTTGAGAAATGTTTTTTTTTAAATTTCCGGTACTTTGTAGATTATTGGCTCTGTAGACAGCAGTTGCCTAGATAATAGTGGTACAAGTAGTAAAAGTAAGGTAAGGTACGTACGCAGGTTTAAGATTTGAAGAACTCTTTAATATTGTAAGTTATTTCTCTATATGCCAATAAAAGGTTTATAAAACGAATTTGGTATCAATTTTTAACGTTCTGAGCACTTATGTCACCATTGCAACATATGCCAAAGTTTTTCGTAATATTTTGCTATGAATCGCTGGTTTGAGTACTGTTTCGACGTTGTTCCGTGTTCTTTTATTGCATGTTGTACATGTTGCAGTGTCATATGCAGCGTGGAACATAAAGTATGTACAAATATAAATATATACTGTTTTATATTAAAGGCACAAGGCACGAACATTGGAGTTAACATCGAATTGCATATGACACATATTATTCACTTGCAACAACAACAAACTGCACAACAACAAACTGCACAATTGCAAAACAGCAAAACAACCGGAACAAATAACAAATCACAGCACTGATTTTTCCGTAGAATTCTAATCAAAGATTCCGTAACCGCAAACGAATGCAAACATTTCATTTCTTGTTTAGTTCTTCTATTTTTGAATTTTGCTGAAATTGAGCAGTGCTGGTGCACAGCACAAATGTGCATTTATGCAGCATGTAGGAGTGCACGATAACCAGTGGCATTGCTCCTACATGCAACTCGAATTAAGGCTATACCATACCCTACAACAGGCAAACTGTAATCCATGAACGCGTTTGTTCGTGTTTATATTTTATTGCGCGGCATTTTATGCTTTCATGTTGCACTTTTTTGTGTGGCACTTTTTTTACACATTGTAGAGCCTTTTTGTTTGGGGCACATTTCACGTGCTCACTCCTTCGCAAGTGGCATTTCAATTTTTACTACTTCACCGCATTACTGCAGCCAAATGCGATGCAACCTGCAACTTAAATTGTGCGGCGCTAACCACAGTTGGTGTGTGTACGCGTGCTGCCAGACTGAAATGATTCGTTGAATTGTTGTGGCAAAGGTTGTAGCATAAAACTTTTGAAATTTGCATAAGCGACTTGCATTTTTACACGGTCACTACACATGCTGTACAAATTTTGGCATACAAATGCTACATCCAAGCACTTTCGTAAATGTTGTTAGTAGGAATGTATGTATGACGATGGGCTCGGCGGTTGTTGCAAGGCCTGCTCCAATTGTTTGGTGCACCAATTAAACTTTAATAGAGTGTTGAGATTTGTCGAAAGTTTTTTATTTGCTTTTCTTTTACTTTGAAAATTTTATATTAAACTTGTTTTATTAGAAAGCCAAACAAATTCAAACAACCGAAGTTCGCATCGTTGCTACGAAACAGGTCCTTTGAACTTTTGCAATTTCAGTCATAATTGGTTGAGTTTATACTTTAGTTTAAATGGAGGTCTCTGGAGCAAAATAATTTAGAATCATGTCTATAAGGGGAAACTCTTCATTTTTAGTATCACTAACGATTAAGAAAATTTTCAGAATGATCAATATTCGTATGATATATATATATTTTTCTATGATTATGGAGACCCATATACTTTCAACTTAAATTGTATGTAAATTAAATATTTACGTATATGATTTTTACAGTTAAAGTTCCTAAAAGAGATAACATTATGTAAATATACCTTATAAATATGCAATAAGTAATATTATAAAATAAAGTAATAACGTTTAATTTTTGTTTGTTGGTCTTATGTATGCACATATATATATAATGGGTTGTACAGGTCGTATCAAAAAGTCTATATTAGTCTATACAAATAGTTTGCTTATTCAAAAATCAATTAATTAATTAATTAATTAAGCGTAATAAAATTAAGAATTGATTTAGTAATGAAATAAGAATGTACGTTCATTGAATGACTAATTAGGTTCATTTCTATTTTTGTATTAATAACTAAATATTTTAAGTAATACAATCAAAAAGTAAACAAATTCTGCTAATTTTGTATATAAAAAATCTTCAAATAAACTGGGTTCAGTTATATCTGAACTGGCTAAAAGGCTATTACGGTGTATTTGCTGACATCACAGAACGGACTCAGACAGAGCAAAGCATTGATAACACCGTACTCCTACAAAGACATTCCTAAATTCTCAAAATGTAATTTAAGGTTGATAACGGGTTTCATTACAGATCATTATGATCTGAAATATTACTT